CTAGATGTGCAAAGCTGGTAGAGACATACCCCAAAAGACTTGCAGCTGTAATTGCAGCAAAAGGTGCTTCGACAAAGTATTGACTCAATGGGGCTGAATATATATGTGCACCACACTTTTCAGATTTTTATTTGTGAAAAATCTTGAACACCATGTATCACTTTCCTTCCACTTCATAATTATGTGATACTTTGTGTTGGTCTATCACATAAAATCCCAGTAAAATACATTTAAGTTTGTGGTTGTAATGTGGAAAAATTCAAGGGGTATGAATACTTTTACAAGGCACTGTAAGTGTAAAAATTAATTTAATCCTGGTTGTGTCCTGCAGACTGCTGTCCAGACACTTGAGACTGAAGAGGAGGAGCTGAGCACCAAACAGGGAGAAAAGTTTGATCCAGCAGACTGGATGGACTGTGATGAGGAGCCTGTAACGCCACAGCCATCAAGGTGCTTCACCGATACATACAATTTATATTTTAGTATTTAGTACATATTTTAGTTTTCTCTCACTAAATGAAAATAAATAGCTTCATCCTTCAGACAGCCCCCCTTTCTGTGTGGCGTGTAAGCTGACATCGGCTCCAGGTGTTAGTGTTTGTGAATTCTTGGCAAAGGTTTTGTGTTTGTATCTTCAGACTAATTCTCCTGTTCTTCCCTCAGCTCTACTGACATGTTGGCGAAGAAACACGGGATTGCCAAGGAGCTGACGATTGTGTTGACAAGGACTCCACAACCAAGCCCTGCATCTACAGCTGTATCCGTCAGTACTCAGGTACAGCACAAATATAGTTTGAACTTTCCTACAGTCACCCAGCAGAATTAGCAAAGTCTAACTAGAGTTGCAAATTATGGCTGTATAATAATGTTAAACTCCCCCCAGGATTGTTTTCTGACAGATGGTGTCTCCGAGCCCATTTTTGATCTAAGTGATATAAGCCCTACCAGCGCAGCTTCCAGCCCTCCCAAAGGTATAAACATGGTTTCAGTCCCAGTATTACTGTACAACAATGCATCTGTGGCTGATTACACTCCACTGAGACACTGAACTAACACGTATCAAGTCTTGGAGCCATCAGCAGTTTTGTCTGCACCACCTGCCTTGGTTTGGTGTGCCAGAAGTTTAAAATATCACTTTTTTTGATGAAAGCTTTTCTTTAATTATTTTTTCTCCTCAGAAACTGCAGCAGTATATCCCATCTTTGACTCTGCATCCAAGAGGTGAGTGTGGTAGTGGGAACGGGCAGGACCCAATAAAGATGTCTGGAGTAGCTTTGAAGAATTCTTTATTTCATGCAGCATGGAGAGAAGTCAGACACAGCTTTGCAGTCGCGCAGAGTTCTCTGCCTGACTGGTAAAGGGGCAGTCCCTTTATACCAAAGTGATACAATACACATCTATAAAACTCCGCAACTGAAATAACCTTGGAAATCAACTGGACTTGGATTTCTAGATCGAAGACGTTTCACCTCTCATCCAAGAGGCTTCATCAGTTCTGACTGACTGGTGTTGGGTCGGAGATATTTACTGGCCGTTACCAGAGCTAATTACAACAACTCGCACATAACACAAATGGAACACAGTATGCTTCACAAATGTAGAACTGTTGTTTTCAGGGCATTTGTACTGCATTGCACTAGACTCTATAGCGTTGCATGTTATTTTTTCTGTAAATTGATATCCAGCTGTAAAAACAATTATTTTTAAAGGGGTAGTTTTTACATAATGCTAGTCCATAACAGTGTAGGACATGAATAGGCACTATCACCTGAAATATATGTTGACTCTCCTTAAACCTAAAGAATTTGGCTTATTACTATATGTACATGTTGTACTCGCATACCGTCTCCAGCTGCCTTTTGTGTCTGCACCTCTCTGAGACCAGACAGCCAATTCACATTTTAACAAAGACAAGTCGGCTTGTTTTGCATTCACACACAGACCCACTTAACATATTACAAGTTCTGCTTTGTCTTGGGATGTCCTGCAGAGACCGGGGGCCCGACATCCTGAGATGACCGCCTGGCCAGTTTAACATACAAATCAACATCACACACACACAGACACCCAGTGTAGATCACATTCCAGCAGGGAGGC